ATAAGACATTTGCTTCATGCATTTCCCACGTGTGAAATCGGACATTGACCATCGGGAAGAACACCGACCTCTAGGGTACCACACTGCCCAACAGATACATAAATGTTACTTACATTTGAGCGATATTTTCTTGTGCTTCTGTGCGTCTTCAGTCCTCGTCCAAAGGTCTGTTTTCCCTGTAAATATGAAAGGTCAACACCAGAACGATTATCTCGATTATCCGACGAAGCAGATTCCATTGGTTGTAAAAGGAACAATAGCCTTGAAAATTATATGAATGGATCACTGAAAAACAACAGATAAAGTTTAACATGCCATTGTAAAAGTTCAAATAAAATACAACAAGAGCCTTTATTATTTCTTGTCATCTAACTTATAATTAGACAAGGCACGTAATGGATGCTAAATCATGCTGCATGTTTAGGTACATGTATATCAACATGTTAGAAATAAATTGTATCAATTTACCTTCTTTTTCTGCTGCATTGTCCAAATCTGGAAGGTAAAATGTCACTTTGGAAATGAAATACGACGCTTGTGCGTGCTGATTGGCGTATATCGTCAAAATAATGTCAACCTATTATATTGTATTCAATTTCTTCATATGGACGGTGGAGTACCCTAGTGGTTAAACGCTTGCTGGTCACGCTGAAGACCCGGGTTCGATTCCCACATGTGAAGCCTATTTCTGGTGTCCCTCGCCGCAATATTGCTGGAATATTGATGAAAGCGGCGTAAAACCATACTCACTCACTCACTTCCCAATAAACGTCATACATGATCATGTCATAGAATGCCACTTATAAGTTCTTACCTGAAAGATGCAGGCGGCCAAACTTGTCATGACGTATTTCACCATACGAAATGTCTGTGTACAGTTTTCCTTTGATTGCTTCTGTCATTTTCCTGTTTGTATGTTCATTGTGAAAATGTAGAAGCAATCGCAGGACAAACATGTAGTTTCCCGGCGACATCGCATCTAGAAAGTAGTTGTTCCGGTTCATTTCCCTGTGCAGCTGCTCTTCAACTTGTGAATTTATTGAGCCCTTCATTTCGGGAACAAACGTTATACGCCTTAGGAGTTCCTCATCTGATTTTGTATTCCCTTCATGAAACCTATCCAGCAAACAGAACGTTTCATTTGAGGTTGGCAAATCATAGTCGGAGACTGGTGCTACTGTCACCCATTCCTTCATGCAAGGTATACTCTTTGAAAATACCCCCTCCTTAGCTTTTTTTATGTTGTCTGCAGTCGCTTCACCCAAGCGTCCTTCGTTGGGCGAGAACATGTTCTTCCGCCGCTTGTTACCATGGCGTGACATCATTGGGGCTACGTCACTAATGATGACTGGCGGTTGTCTTGACATAGATAGAATGATGTCGACATGGTCTCTGACACTTTCAGGCCTCAGAATAGCTTTGAATGCGTACACTATTCTATGGGGGCAGGACGCTGATACCCATCCACCTGAATGAACATTAACATAGTGATGGGACACATTTGGTTTAACCTTGCTTTTAATAGTATACTATATACTCCAGTAGTCAGATTGTGGAGTTTCAAGTTACAAAATGACATTCCATTAACAGACTCAGTGCTGATTCTTATGCAGAGGGGGCTGGGGATGGCCTATCTTGAAGACATTTAACGAAAATAATATTACCAAGCAAAAGCAATTGTGTTACAAAGTAAGTAGTTATTTTGCATCATTTAGTCTGGCACTTGAATGTGGGAACACACACTATATATGTTTTATTCATCATTTTAAATGCAATAGTAGGCATAATTACCAGAATGGCCCCATATGCTTGAAAATAACTTGTTGAAGGTTGATTTGCTTTTCAACTTTTCCTTCAAGCTGTTGATCATCTCTAATTTGGTCCCTTTGGCGTCTACTTCCATCTTTGTACACCAGTGCCGTACATCCAGATCCTACATGATATGATATAGAAAATGTCGAAAACATGAGTGACTATGCTTATCATATCATATCATATCATATCTCAATTTGTAATATTACTACCTACGCATATCAAGATTGCAAGAATTGTACAAATGTGCCTAGTTGATATCAATAAGGCCTTTCGATTATGTCATATTTACCTTCTTTTCACATAACATTTGGATCAGGAAATCTTCAGTCAGTTCCTTATCCCCTGTATCAAAATCTGTATCTCGAAGATGGGTTCTGAGAGATCGAACTTTTTCAGCTTCAGTGTTGAAAGCATTTTCATCTTTTCTGGCTAATCCAATGAAAGGAGCCCAGTTGTCATAACTAGGTGTAACACGCCCGACGTTGGCTGCTTCTGTCAGGGAATGAAATGATAAATACATTATAGTGTATATAAACAATATCCTTACAGTAACTTTAATTTTAGTTCCCCCCCCCCCCCCCCTCTCTCTCTCTCTCTCTCTCTCTCTCTCTCTCTCTCACTCACTCACTCTCTCTCTCTCTCTCTCTCTCTCTCTCTCTCTCTCTCTCTCTCTCTCACACACACACACACACACAGACAAGATGAGTCATTTATAATACAATATGAGGATTTGCACCTTTTCCAAAACCCCGAAGTAAAATAGACGCCTCCACCGTTTGGCTCCAAAACACATCCATGTTGATTCCATCTGTAGCTGTTTCTGTCCCTGGTACTTGTGACACTGTAAGCAATACATGTTTACCATAAGAGACGAGAGAACAGGGATTAGGAAACATCATTATGGGATATTGTTTGTGACCAACCATGAGATAATGGACCTTACATTTTTGCTTTCCATTTTTACATTTTGAAACTACATCGTTAATGCGCTTATACATTTCTTAGACACTGGAAATTATAAATTAGACTTACATGCTAATGGAAATGCACATTTCCTATTTGCATCTGTCACCAGGCAACATGGAAAACGGCCACAGATGTCACAGGTAAAGTTGTACTTGTGATCGCACATTGCCTCAAAGTGCAGATATCCCTGTAACATTTTGTCTCCGGGAAAATGTAAGCCGGAATCTTCTGATAAGATATCGGCAGCCCTTCCAACGGCTGTATGATTCTGAAACCATTAAGCAGGCGAAATTGATCACATTCATTATGCCGATATTTTAAACTAATCCTAAGTTAACAGTCAAAAGTGTTTAAAGTCCGAATGTCACCGGCCCACATCAAGTGCATATATCAACAAACAATGCGCCATACAACAATCAGATATCACGATCACATAAATATGCAAAGTGTTGTTTTGGAGAAGGGAGTCGTCCATAAACTAACTAAATTAGGTATAATGTACCTTCAAGTTAACTCTGAACCAGTGGCACAGGCGAACTGACAGGAACACGTGGTCGTCAAAATTGTGTATACCATCCCTGTGCTCTTGGTACCTGTAGAAGTGACCGCACGCTTTGCACTTCTTTATGATAACTGATTGCAAATGGTGGCACTGATAAATACCTACATTGCCCCTTGCTGCAACACCCAAAGCTAAATTGCAATTTTCATGTTCACATTGTATCTGCTGTGTGACAGTGTTCATTTGTACATGAAGTGGGTAATCTGGACCGATACTGGACTTGCTGATCATGTAGAGACCGCGGTGTTTATCAACGCATATTCCACGTTGGTATGACTTGGTTTTCACTTCATCTCGTGCATTGTGTGTCTCAATATGTCTTTTAATGTTTTTCTTAGAGATCATTGCATTGCAGACAAAACATGTCACTTTCGGAACTTGCTCTCTCTTCACTTTTTGGATTTTAGGGGACTCTGCTGAAGTTCTTTCCTCAGAAGCTGTCTGGTTTGTTGTCAGAACAAAAGGGCAAACCGTGGTCGTGAGTCGGACAAATGTGAACTTTCTCCGGAAGAGTTTACCACACGGGCAGTGGTAATGGCACCGGTCTTGTTTCGGAGTACAATCCAAAAAGCAGCTTAACACCCATAAATCTGCAAGGACACAAATACGGATTATTATACCGGACCGCCTCCGTGGTCTAGTGGTAGAACGTCCGCCCGGTGAGCGGAAGGTCCGGGGTTCGATCCCCGGCCGCGTCATACCAAAAGATGGTACTTGTTGTTAACATGTCTGGCGCTCGGCATTAAGGTGCTTAAACAAGGACTGGTCGGCTCGGAGTCAGTATGCTGTCTCTGTGTGGGGTATTCATGTTAAACTGTGGCATGGCATCTCAGTGAGCTAGCACTATAAAACGGCATCAGTCCGGACCAGTACAAGCAGCCACTCACACAAACACGAGCATGCACGTCGCTAAATAGTGCAATAATCTTCGAGGCGACGTTAAACCCCATTTTACCTCACCTCACCTCACTATTATACCAGATAAAATGGTGCGTTGGGCTTGTGAGGTTGTGTAATGGACACCGTTTTACACGTATGCGTAATGCCACGTATACGCTAGGTACATACCACGCAATATTAGATTAATAACAAACACCAATTTATACATACCCCCAACTTTGACGGCATGTTGTGTGTGCTTGTTGATGTGTCCTTCCTTGACATTGTACCGTCGTGACGTTGATTCTGGACACAGTTTGCACTGGAATATTCCATCAACTTTAGCCAGTAAACTCTTACATGTGCCGAGCTCTTTTGTGTGCCATATGTCTTCATTCTGTAGACAAAGGTAGAAAGTGTAAAATCAACAAGTTTTCAAAAGAAGTCCTATTTTTCTATTGCTTGAGACTCCCGGACACTGAGTGGTGTAAAGCCACTTACATTTATGAGTACTAAATGAAACATAACGCGTCGATATCCATTATCTTCGCCGTGCATTTATGAAAACCTGTAACCAACTGAAGGTAGGGTGCTACAATGTCTAGGTTACATGGCCACTGTAGATAATAATACTCACGTTTGTTTCACAACGTCCATGCCTGGAAGAAATAAAATAATGACAATATATAAACATTTGAAGAAATGTGTACAACCATTAGAATCCTTAAATTTAGGTTAACACTGTTACCAGTTTTTAGCACAAGGTGTAGGCAGTTTAAACTAGAACCAATGTCTTTATAACTAGGAATATATGCTCTTGGTTTATGTATATCACAATTCCATTAACGAGTTTCAGCCATCTCTTTCTATAACCTTATATAGTACGAACAATATAGTTAACATATACCATTACTTTCTTATTTGTGTGTTAGTGAGTGAATGAGTGCGTGCGTTCGTGTGTTCGTGTGTTCGTGTGTACGTGTGTGTGTCTATGCAAACGTCTCAATTGAAATAGCCTGAAAACTTAGTGGCACATCTGTGAAGCTCACATGTTTCGCATAGAAAAGGTTTAATATACGGGTTTGAAATATTATAAATATTATTATCTCTTTCCTTTACCATTTAGGCATAAAATAACTTTAAAACAGTCGCTCTATACCCCCTTTTAGAAACTATATTGCTTCCCTTTACTACATGGGGTTGTCTATGCAAACGTTCTTATGGACATAGCCTGAAAACTAAGTGGCACATCTGGGAGCCTCGCATTTTTCGCATCGAAGTAGTTTAAAATACGTATTTGAAATACTATTTTCTCCTTCCTTAACTGTTTAGGCATAAATAACGTAAATGTATTCGCTCTACACCCCGTTTGGAACGCTAAAATACGGGTTTAAAATAGTATTAGTTCTTTTCACATTCATTTAGGCATCAAATAACTTAAAAAGAGTTGTTTAAAAACGCACTTTGGGAAGATATATGGCTTCGCTTTGACACGATCATCGATCCCGATTGCGTGAAGAGATGCGCATCATATTAAATACTGGATTGTCTGGTCCAGACTCGATTATTTACAGACCGCCGTCAAATAGCTCGAATATTGCTGAGTGCAGCGTTAAACAACCAAACAACCAACCAACCCAACCAACACGAGGGGCTGTCTATGCAAACGTCCCTTTGGAAATGCCCTGAAAACGTAGTGGCACATATGGGAGCCTCGCATTTCTTGCATGCAAATAGTTTACAATACGTGTTTGAAATACAATGTTCACCTTCCTTAACTAGTTAGGCATAAAAAAACGTAAACGGAATCGTTCTGTGTCCCGTTTGGAAAACTATATTTGAAATACTATTTTCTCCTTCCTTAACTATTTAGGTATAAACAAACGTAAAAGGAGTCTCTCAATACCCCCTTTGGAACACTATATGGCTTTCCTTTAACACGGGGGAGATTATCTACACAACATCCCTTTGGAAATAGCCTGAAAACTTAGTGGCAAATCCAGGAGCATGGAAATAGTTTCAAATGCGGGTATGCAGCATTATTATCTCCTTCCTTCCATAAGAATGTTTAATGACATAACAAAACAAAACATAACATAACATAACATAACATAACATAACATAACATAACATAACATAACATGAGAAAAAGTAATATTCAAATGAATGTATTTTACATAAAAAGAACAATAGATACTCATTTCCACTGCGCATATGATAAAGACTAAACCTAAACGCCCTTCACCCTACCGTCATTCAATACGTATTGTCCCCGACATGAAAGATACGTGGAGTGCTCTTCTTTATGAAATTTTAATATTTTACGTTTCACATGCGAGCACATACTAATCGAAAACCATTTGAAACCCATTAAACAAAACTCTGGACATATTATACCCGCAAACATGGAGAAAAGAAACGCCTCTATTTTAATAAATTACTAAAAACTAACACGTGACAATGTACATGTTTCCCAAAGTGGCATTTTGAAAGCAAATCCTGCTTCCTTTCAACGTTGCACGAAAACTTAAAAAAATAGTACGTACCTTGCAAGAAATATTTTTTTGGACATCATCCAGTCTTGAAAGTTACATAGCCCTGTTTGTGAGTTCTCAGCGCTCTGTAAATATCTGAGTCTTATTGAGAGTCTGTTGTGAGATGCCCTGGGTGTGTTAAAGGCTGACCACGGCCTAAGTTTCAAAAATCTGTAGCTAGCTGGTGTTAGCACTTTTATCATGAGGCAGGATGTTCCTTGTTTATATGTATCAGTTAGCCCTGTCAACTTCATGAACCTCATTCTTACAGAATGTCAACCGCATGCCCCATTCTGGGTTTCAGGTAGTATGTGCTTATCTTTTAGGATCTCACAGAAGCACTAAATGTGTTATCCAGTTATTGCTGTGACATTTCTAACTCCCTAGAAACTCCTCTGGAATCTGGAACTTGCCACAGAATGTATCACGTCACAATAAACAAACAAGTCCCCTAACAGACCCTAAAAGGAAAGAGTCTAGAGAGTCTAGACTTCTTGTTTCCAAAAATGAAGATATTCATTCTGGATTAAGAAAGGGCTACCGAACATCAAGTAATGTATTTGTTCATAAAATATTTATTTAATAGTTTTAACAAAAAGTAAAAAGAAAAATGTATACACTTCCTTTGTAGACTTTCAAAAGGCCTCTGATTCAGTTGACAGAGCACTACCCCTAACAAAGCTATTTCACATAAAATGTCAGGAAATAGTTCTTATAAAGTGAAAATTGACGGGGCATTTCACAATCCTTTAAATCCAACATCGGCATAAGACATGGGTGCATTTTGTCTCCCAGATTATTTAATATATTCCACAATGATCGTCCACCACATATCAAACAAGAAAATAACAAAATAACACTTAATGCTTTAAACATTTGTCATTTGTTGTTTGCCGATGACTTTGTACTTTTTGCCACTTCCAAAAATTCTGCACGAGTTATTTGATGGTCTAAGAGTATTTCGTGTAACAAATAACCTAAAGATTAAAGGTGAAAAAACAAATGTTGCAGTGTTTGGCAAATCAAGTAAAATAGAAGAAACGAATACTTGGACCTTGGTTGGTGCAAAAATTCTAGTTATGGATAGATATAATTATTTATGAATAACATTTGAAGCAAATGATAAACTTAATAATAGCGCCAAACCTCCCTTGAAATAGGGTCTAGGTACTACCATAAGCTTCAGTCTACCAATAATCTACCCAAATCTGGGGTATAGACGCAACACCCCTAGTCTGAACAACTTTGATTAATTAATCCCCGAGAAACTGCGGCGCCGATGTTGTATATCCATGTTAGGTGTCAACAAAACAACACACAATTGGGCAAGGCGAGCAGAACTAGGATTCTATACTCTTATGTACACAGTACTAATATAAATTACGAATTGCTATCACTATGGTGGTTCTTCAACATAGTGAAATTCTGCTTTACCCACTAGGCTCCCCGACCGCCCCGTTCCATGTGATAGGAAAGCCCGAAGTGATGCAGGTGTCAGACGTTAACCACTTCGGTGAAACCCACGAGCACGGTTGTCGTACTGACCAAATCTAGAAACATAATCGGGGCGAACCGGGATTCGAACCCACGATCATAGATTTCTGGCGTGCCCAAGGGACGCGCTTTTCTGCACAGCGAATTGCTGCGCCTCAGACGACTCGGCCAACCGTGCCCCAAAAGGTGCAAGAAAAAACTGAGGACATTCAGGACAGTTAAAAATGAAATAAGATTAGAATCATATTTCAGTCACTGTAAAATAAGAAAATATCGAGTGCACTTTTCTAAACTAGGAGTAAGTAACCATAAATTAACTATAGAACTTGGAAGACATACAAAGCCACCCACCCCACTACATCAGAAACTATGCTCTACATGTTCAACCATTAATGAGGAAAGACACTACCTACTTTATTGTATCAAACACACGAAAGAAATAAATATACTCTTTGGAAAAGTATCCACACAAAATGTAAATGTCCACAATAATGAAAACATATTATTTCACCACATCCTCTCAAATATTTAGCCATCAACATCAATTGCATATGTTTCAAATGGATGGTGTCGAGCAATAGATTCCCGTGGATCAACCTATGACATTTTATGTATAATATCATCAAATCTGTACTGTTGATATTTTCTATGCATTAAATTATTTCTTTGTGTTTTCAGGTATGTATGTCTGTCTGTATATGTGTATGTATGAATTATGATGTGTTTTTTTCGGGAATGGATTGTTTTCTGCAATAAATATCCTTTCCAGATCCAAATAAATCAGACATAATCCTATTGTACCTATGCTGTCATACAGATCATGAAACAAATATATCCATTACAGTCCCTTCCAAGCCTATGATATTTGGCAAGTCAAGATTACTGCAGTATCAGGGTCTGTACAAATCTGCTGAAATCACAGGCCTTGTAATCATCAGTTAATCTCCAGCTGGCATTAGTGACACCACACCAAGACCTCCTGCTCCTGCTCTTCCCCTGCCACTCGAGCTCTGGCCAGACATGTGTGATGACATTGGAGACCTGGTGACATATACAACCTTACCAAGCTCCGACTGAGTCTTCACAGCCTGGAAATTGAGAGGGGGAGATACTCCAACACCCCAGTTGAAAATAGGTTCTGTCCGCACTGTGACTGCCATTCCGTAGAGGATGAAGAACACTTCCTGCTTTCATGCCCACTATATACAGACCTTAGGAGAAATCTGATGGCACTGGTAGAAATAGGCGACCCTTCCCAGACCGATAAAACAAACCTCTTAAAACACTTTATGAATCCACCAAAAGAATGGTCAAGTCTTGTTGCCCGGACTATATACCACATGTACAAGCTGAGGCCATAAGAAAATTCTATTATATTCGATCCAATTAAGTGAAATAACCAGCAATAACCTAATATACATAAATGTTTATATGATGTAAATGAAATAATGCCTCTATACAAAATGTACATCATATATACATATACCTGTCATATCTATAATTATATACATGTTCATATGTACATAGTCTGTACCCTGCCCTATGAGGGTGTTCAGTACAA